AAGGCTTACATATGCCTGTCAAGCATAACTGATGCTTCAGCCATGGTTTTCCTGAGGTTGTATAAGTGTTTTCATAACTAGCTGAAGCACTGGCTGAAGTTCAATGCCAGTCTGCAGATGTTATGCAGCTGTTGGGGTTGTGTAAGTATGCATATGTAACGTGAAACTGCTATTGTGTTTGAGCTGGCAGGCTCTCATAATACTGCTTTGCCCAGTAATTGCCAGGTCCTGCCCCTAGTGTTTTTGCAGTAATGAGGTAACAGCAAAAGAGTAATCTGGCAGTTGATCAAAGGCCAGCAGCCTGCTCTGATGGTTGGGTGGCTGCATGGTGAGTGGTGGTAGCATGTTGCTGCTGATCTGCAGCCTTTGGCCAGGGGCTTGAAAAGTGTTAGGGCGAGTGTGAGGAGTCATCCAGTTACAGGGTATACCATGTTTTTTAAAAAGCTTAAGCGTATTAAGTGAACTTTGTAATTTCAGATGTACTAGCCTGGAACAAGCTTTCATTCCTCCTGTGAACTGAGTGGAAATACAGTATTAATGAGCTAAAATGTCACAGAGCAGTTCCCATATGCTGTAAAAACACTGGCAAAAGGGAAGTCTCCACTGAAGTATTTTGTGGTGAAGCAGAGATTGCTGGACGTAGGAGCTTGTGAGTAGTTGACCGTGCTGCACTGGGGTTGGGGAAGTGGGAAAAGGGGGATGCTGAAGAGCCAAACCCCCAAAATACCCTTCATGTGAGTGGTGATGTGGCTTGCCTTTGGGAGGGGATGTGGTGGGAGTTGGAGTAATGGTTTCAGCTGATCACTGACCTCAGTGGGATGTGAAGGGACCTTACACCATCCCGGTTGGAAGGGTGGGGTAGCAGGGTTTGAAGTAACACCAACTGTCCATTATTCTTGGTAAGAATGGTGGAAGATGCTTTTAGTGCTTTGTGGCCTGTAAGGAACAGGATAATCAAGACATGCTGAATTGGAGAAAGCTTTTGCATGCTGGTGAGCTGAAGCCTGTGCCAGGTAAGAAGAGTTGGGGTCCTGCCATTGCTGAGCTCCTGGTGTGTTCCTGGGGGGGCTGTCCCCAGGCTCTGCCCGCACACACATGCGGGCTCCACAGGGTGGTTGGTGCTGCTGGTGGGCTGGGTGGGAGCGTCGTGGGTGGTGCTGGTGCCGTGCCCTCGCGGTGGACGGCAGACCCTCACTCAGTTTATGTACTCCTTGACTAAGGTAACCGAACCCTCAACACATGCAAACCGTAAAGCTTGCCATTATATGGTTTTTGTGGCCTCTTGAGTGGTCTGAATTTATGCAGCAATTAAAAATTCAGCAGCCCTTCAGCAGTTTTGGGTGTGCTGTAATGGGGCTCCTTAAACGTGGATGACTGATCCAGTTCAGGGGTGGGTGTTTCTGGAATGGAGCTGATCTTATGTAAAAAGAAAGAAGCTGCAGCCTGGTTAGTTCCTTGCTCTACATGCTTGGGAAGCTCTTCCTTGGAAATCTGGTGATCAAAAACCCCAAAAAGCTGGAAAAAACAACTGCAAGTGGTTCTGATTTGAACGTGGCCCGATTGCTGGGGGGGGGAAGAGCTGCAGGAGGACATGGGGACACTCAAGGAATGTCAAAAGCCTACACGGAAGACTGCAGTGCTGTGTTTTAAGAAATTCTTTTATTCTAAATGCCTTGGTGAAAGAAAAACCCTGCAATGCCATACTTAAAAACTATAATGCTGTGCAAATATGTAACGGCCTGGAGCGTGATCCAAGTGGATGTGCTGCAACTAGAGCAGCAGAAAGCTTGTTGGAGGAGAAACCTGTGTCGTCGTCTCGTAAGCTGAGTCAAAGTACTGATCTCAACAGGTCGCCTTGCTGGATTTGATGAACTTCAAGGGGTTGTTAACGGTGGCAGTGCAAACACTTACAGAGCGCGGCACCCATGAGCAGAGACCACAGCTTGGGTAGGATAAACCACAGAACAGCAGTGTTTGATGAAAACAGCAAAGCATTTAATAAATGTTAAGGATGTCTTTTGTTCTAACCGTGAAAGTACCTGCTGTCTTGCTTCAGATGGCTTCACACAATTCACGTGGTGCCTGGGATATCTCCTGGATCTTACTTGGGTTTATTGGTTTTTGAAGGAAAACTCCTTTCACAGGATTTCTTTCTAGCAAAATGTTTTAAAGTGAAGGAAGACACAGCACCTACATTGTGCTGGGTCTGAAAGCATTGCTGCTGGGGAAATAGAGTACAGCCAGCAGCTGTCTCCCCTGTGGAGAGCTGGCTGGTATTGAACAGACACATGTTAATTGCTCCAGCAATTAAACAGAGGCAACTATCAAGGAAAAAGGTCTGGAATTAAAAAAGACACAATTAAGCGTAAAGACACAAATACGGGTGTTCCACCAAGGTGAAGGCTGTGGTAACAGTCGGGTCCTCTGCGGTGCGCGTGGGAGCCCGTGGGCTTGTGTCTCCCCGTGGCACCCACACGTCACATCACGGAGGACAGCGTTTTGGAGGTAGGTGCACTCCAGTTTCTAGACCCTTTAGCTCAGATCAACTTACAGTTTGGACAACAGGATGATACATCTAATCGTTTTAAAATCGGCTGTCACAAGCTGGAGTCTTCCCTTCGTTTTTTATTTTCTGCTGACTTTTAGGGATGAGTCTCGACCAGGCTTTTGTTCAGGGCCAGTTTAGGTGCACAAGATAGACAAAAGACCCAATTCCTTGGCAAAACAGAGGCGGGTGAAGAGGCGATGGATGTTTTCCCCTCGGGGACAGCCTGGGCTTGAGCCGTGGGTGACCGGCCGACGGCTGACCGCCTGCCGAGCCCCTTACAGCCGCCCGCTCTTGCCCCCTCCCCCGAGACACCTGCAGTGACAACGCGCTCGCAGCCGATGCGGTGGCCGCGGGGGGA